CCCCAAAACCCCAAAACCCCAAAACCCCAAAACCCCGAATAATATCACATAAAATAATAAAAATGGAGAGTAAAACTAAGTAAGCAACCTGCTAGCTCAAACGAGTAGTGACTTAATAATAATACCTTCAAAAAGCTTTATAAAGACTTGAAGAAATATAAAATTCCCAACAGGCAATCAAATGGCCTTTAAGAAGCCATTGGTCCTTAAACAAACATTTCTCTCGGTGAGGAGCATTTTGTGTATGATAACAGTTTTTTGAGGACTGGTCATAACAGATCATCCATGTTTCAACTATTTCATCAAATTTCTACCAAGAAAAACTGGTGAAATCAACCCTCTCGAGGTTCCTCATAAAATAAGCTGAGCTTTAGCATCTATAAATCGCTAATGTAGAATAAGAAAACCATTAAGATATAAAAATAACACTTATATAGGCACCATGTTTCGATAACTTTTGAAGAATTTAAGGCAAAGGTCGTTTCAAAATCAATGTTTCTACAAAGAATAGGTACTTTCAGCACAATTAAAGACTTCATTATTATATAGGGGCTAAAACAGTGAAGATGATGTATGAGAGCCTCAGGCAGCTAACTTTTAGCAAAAAGTGCGTATCTCCTTGAACCCACTTTACATTTATCTAAAATTATCTTGTATCTAATAGTTCACTTAGAGCACTAAAGAAGAACAAGATGCTTGAATATTGCTCAAAATAAGATCAAGTACAAAGAAGGAGCCCTGATCGATGGCTACATTATCTTGAAGGGTCATCTCTGCCTCTCGACTATGAAGAAGGGCTACATCCCTAAAGAAGGAGAACCAGAGGATTATCCAGAATATTTTGTTAAACAAAACGAGTTCATCTGTAGTGATAACATCTGGAAATATATCCCTAACTTTGGCAAAAATATTATTATCAGGTACCTCCAGTTCGTGCCTGAAGACGAACAGCTAGAGGTTCTCAAGCTCCCAATGTCAGAGTACAAGCATATTGTCAAACGGAATCCTTCTGAGAGAGATGTAATGATCTTTCTGTGTAAGTTTAATAGAAATAATTCTCTAGCAAAGGCCATCCCCAGCCTTGGATCCTACTGATTGTCTACCAAGATGAAAGTTGTTGATAACTTCACTCCAAAGTATTACAAAGGTGGTGAAATAATCTGTAAGGAAGGAGACGAGCTAGGCCATATCATGGTTATCTTACAAGGAGAATGAGAAATACTCAAAAACAATCCAGAGGCTAAAACCTATAGAGGGGAAAGTGGCCTCGGCTTCCTGTCTGAATCTCTGATCAATAACAAAATATGGACAGTTTCCTCAAATCATTGGATCGGTGGAGAATCTGTGTTTTATAACAAACCTCTGGCATACTCAGTCAGAAGCCTAAGTATAGTGAGACTTCTCATCTGCTCAAGAGAGAAAATAAACTCTATCCCAAAAGATATCCTAGAGTCTCTTAAGAAAGAGCTCGATCGATCAATTTCCCTCAATGAGGACAGACTTCAAAAGCTAGAAGATACTAAATAAAATGCTGTTAAACTTGGACCATGAGATTAGCCGTACCTTACCAGAACAGATATCTCACTTAACCAAAAAGTACCCGAATGCGTCAAAATAATACAATTTCAAACATCAGAAAAGTGCTACTCCCCGAGCTAATGAACAAGCCAAGGTTTTTGCTATGTAAGAACACTGCCAGGGTAGATCCCACCCTTCATGATGACAACAGCAAGAAGAAAATAATCTCACAGTTTCTTGAGAAGAAACGGCAGGGCCAGCTTGACGATCCAGGTAACACATTTCAATCATTTATGCATCTGACTCTTGCTGAAGAGGGAGAAAAGCCAAGGTATCTCTACGAGTCTACTTTCGATGAGAAACATCAGAAGGCACCTCCCGACATCACACTGAAGCATACCCTCTGCCATCGGAGTAACAGTATCACTCAGCCAAGAGAGCCAGTTTCAATGAAGGCCAACATCAGGAGCATTAACAACATAAAGTTAAGGAACAAAGCAAGGGAAAGTGGCTTTACGCCTTCTGAGCAAGGTAATTACCAGGATCCTATCTCAGAAGAGGTCAAATAAGTACTCACAGTACAAGAAGATGCAAGAAGAATCGAGGAGAAACTATGAAACCATAGATAGCCTCAGTCCAAAACTGAGGAACAAGTATGCAAGACATTCCTCCATCAAACTCCTTGCACGTAACTAACCATTTCTGATGCTTTAGGAAGAGGCAGCAACGCAAATAAGATGCCAAGTGTTGAGAGAGACTCCTCAGTCAAGACTATTAAGAACTCTTACATGTCTTTTGAACAAGCCTTTGAGGATAGAGTCAAAAATATGAGTGAGAGGAAAAGTAAAGTACCTTGATAAATTTTGTAGGCATGGTGAAGAACTATATCAAATCAAGTTTCACAAAAAATTCTCAAAATTCCATCAATTTTTCAAATATTAGCCTTAATAGGAAGTCTATAAAGCCATTTGACATTTCGAAGAGTAGCGATGTGACAAATGACATCTTGAGAGGGTCCAGGAATAGGTCCAAGCCCTCTCCTAAAAGGATGCCTCAAGCCGCGCTTTTTGATAAAGGAACAAACTTTTACTTTAAAGTCAAAAATTTCAAGAGGAAGAAGAGAGAAATATTTTAAGGTTTTCTAATTATCAATTTTAAAGTAGCCTGCTGGGGTTTTGGGGTTTTGGGGTTTTGGGGTTTTGGGG